GGTACTCGGAATGCAAAATAACGTAACAACCTTTTCGGAAATTTACAGTGGAACGAATGATACACGAAATAAAATGGAACTTGGGTGAAACAAAATTTTAATATTGGTTAAAACTGGTTTATATCTGAACGCAGAACCTGAAAATGTTGAACATATGTAATATTGTGTATGTAATTTGAAGTAGTGAAGCGTAATAAGACATCCAGTTTCGAATTTTTTGATGATGCGTTATTTTGCATTTTAGGTGATGATATATATGCTGTAGTCATGTCACTTAAACTGCCTGCCCGCTCTTTTGCGGTGTAATTCTGTATTTTTTCTCAGATCCATTTTCATGCCTCATCCGTATTATTATCTTCAAAATTTAACACACACCTAATGTAATATTTGTAGTACACCATTAACATCGAAATCCGTCGCGTTGCCCCAATTTATAATGCATTTTTACTTCCTTATTTCTATTACAGCAAAACATTTTTAAATACAGAAAACTAATATTCTTTCTTTTTATATGTATTTCCATTTCTATCAACTCAAAAAAAAAAAAAAAATACCAAAACAAATTTGAAATGCCAAATTGTTTTGCGTGTGAATAATTTCACTACACAACAACAGCAAGGAGTCAGCCTATGCCAGCGTACCCAACGACATGTTCTATTGTCATTTGTGTAAGAAACATATGTGGGACGCCAACTCTTTCGAGAATCATATTAAGGGTCGCACACATTTGATGATGCGCGAGGGCATCGAAGAAAGCTATCGCCTAAAGGCTAATATGATACGCCAAGAGGCCAAGATCGCTGAGCAATTGAAATCGATTGAATTGGATCGTTTGAAGCGCATGGGCAAGACCAAGCAACGCCAATTGGAATATTGTACTATGTGCGATTTGAATTTCCATGGTCATATTTCGGCGCATCGTAAATCAGAGGGTCACTTGAGTTTAAAGAAGTTCTTGCATCCCAAATGTATTGAGTGCAATAAGGAATTCGCTACACGCATTGATTACGATACACATTTGTTATCCGCTGATCACTTGCAAAAGGCCGCCGAGAAGAATACTAAGGTTGGTGAACGTAAACGCAACACATTGACTATTCATACCGAAGAAGAGGAGTCGAAGGACTTGCGTCCACCACAAAAGAAGAGGAAGAAGCCTGTTGCCAAGAAGGCTGAGGGTGAGGGTGAAGTCAAGAAGGAGGGAGAAGATGCTGCTGAAGGTGAGGAGGCCGATGGTGAAGAGGCTGAGAAGAAAGAGGGTGAAGAGGGCGCCGATGAAACCAAAGAGGGTGAAGATTTAAATGAAACACAAGAAGAGGAGGAAGTCGCTTTGCCCGTCGATCCAGAAGACTGCATTTTAGACTTCTCTGATGGTGATGACATACCGACTGAAGTCGATACACGTTTGCCCAAATACAATTGGACGCGTCCAGTTGGTGCCGGTCTTATTACGAAATTGGAGTGCTTCGAGTGCTCGCTATGCGGCAAATTCTTCGATACAGAAAAGACCGTTGAGGTGCATTCTCGCACCGTTACTCATCACCGCAACTTCTTGAAGTTCATTAACGAGAAGGCGAGCGATACTAAGATCGCGCAAAAACGCGCCGCCGCCGCTCTTGAGGAGAGTGAACGCAAGAAGCGCAAGTTGGAGGAAGCCGAAGCAGCTGCCACCGAAGTTAAGGTAGAAAATGGTGAAGAGGGTGAGGGTGGTGAAGCCGCCGAGGGTGAACTGTACGATCCATCCGAGGCCACTGGTGATGATGAAGATGTAGAGATGAATGAGAATGGTGAGGCCGCCGAAGGCGAGGAGGGCGACGAAGAGGCCGGCGATGAGGAAATGGAGGCACAAGAACAAGATGGCGAAGCCGAGGCTGAAGTCGATCCCGAGCCTGAGCCAGAACCAGAACCAGAGCCTGTTAAAGAACAGCCAAAGCCCGAGCCTGTCAAGACACCAGCCAAACCCGCTCCAGCAACACCAGCACCAGTCACACCCACAGCTGAAACATCGCCGGCCAAAAAAGCAACACCAGCTCGCGCCGCACCAAAAGCAACGCCGCGCGGTCGTGGACGTGGACGTTACAATCGCTACTAAAGCAAATAGTTTGAGTCTAAACGTTTAACTATTCCGAAGAGTTACACTGGACTTAATGCTGTATTATGCATTATAAAATGTAAAAGCATATTTTAAGAGGTAAATAAAATAACCTTTAGATGTACAAAATAAAAATAAAAAACGGACTTCTGTGTTCATTTATTGCTGTGGGTTAGTGGTTTTTTATACCGTATTTTTATTGGAGTAGCAGTATTTGCAAGTCGCTTTCAAGCTCCCATTAAGGTTTGGTTAGTTTATTCATAACTCAACCCCTTCATGAACATTAAAATTAGTAAAGTTGTTCGCTGACATAGTTAATTTTTTTAAGTACATATTTGTGAAGGTAAGATGATGGATAACTTCCGTATTTTAGAAAGGGGTTGTGTTTTAAGAAAGTACCACCACATTGTACAGTAATACAGTAGTCGGAACGCACCGGAATTTTTATCCGGTCAGGGATTGTCAACTCAGCATCATTCCCCGAAAATACTTCAGGCGGTTTTACTTATCCGGTCAAGGACTGTCATTTCGACAATCTAGCCCAGTTGGGAACGGTAAGTGATAAGAGAGTATGATTATGTCAGACGAGGGGGGTTGGTGGGGCATACAAAGAGGTGTCCAGTGTCATGCCAACACATTGCACGCACGACATATTAGTTTGTCAAAAAAGTTTTGCGGTATTTTCGCTAGTTGGCGTTGAGAGCGCGTAGTTCTAGTTTTATTCGTCGCATCGGGTCATGCTATACCTTTTTGGACAGCTCATTTCACACGCTAACAAGAGTTTGACTGATTGTCGTTTCTTTTAAGTCGTTCGTGAGTTATAGCGTCGCAAACATGGAGCAAAATAAAGAGAAAATACGGCATATTTTACAGTACTACSACTASGATAAAGGCAAAAATGCATCTCAAGCCGCCAATAAAATTTGTGCAGTTTATGGACCCGATACAGTTTCCATTTCCACCGCACAACGATGGTTTCAACGTTTTCGTTCTGGTGTAGAGGTGGTCGAAGATGCGCCACGCTCCRGAAGGCCTGTCGTCGAAAATTGCGATAAAATCGCTGAATTGGTCGAAAGAGACCGGCATAGTAGCAGCCATAGCATCGGTCAAGAGCTGGGCATGAGTCATCAAACCGTTATAAAATAATTATTCTGGATAAGTAGGAGCTTAACCTGCTACAATATGCAGAACGAAGCTGCGCAAGGCTCACTGTTGTTTTAACGTTTATCTAGTCCCCGTTAGTGTATTAAGGGTCACTCGCGTTGTCGTCGAGGTCATCTAACAGGAGGCCCAGGAAACGTGCTGTTTTGTTGGGGTCGGACCAAAGGGGGAGGGTGTTAGATGAGTAGGGTTTGTAGGGCATGCCAAGAGGTGGCCAGTATCATGCGGGGACTCGTTGCATGCAAGACATACTTTGGGTATGTCGGGGTCAATTCTGGATAAGTAGGAGTTTAACCTGAACGAAGTTGCGTTAGGGTCACTCGCGTTTCTCGCGGCAACTGGAGCTCTTCGTCTGCAATGGGTGGTGGTTTGACTCAGAGTATCTACTGTCTCGTTCGCGATTTTTATGCAAAATGTTGAAAGCGACGAATCTTAGAAGATCTGAGCAGCTGTTTAGGTTAGTTTCTAAGACTGCAACTTTCGATATACCATCCCCGACGGTATTGATCAGACTTGGAGCCATGCTGCCTAGTTGAGCTAGTGGGATCGTAGAGGTTTCCTGTTGGCCACACAGTTGATGTGGCGGCGCAATTTGCCACCAAGATGCTACTTGAGGACATCGAACAAACCACACTCCTCCAGGACTCAAGAGGTGGATCATATACTATCTTCGAAGGTGAACATTCTCGATTAAGGAGAGTTAAACAGGGCGTTACCCAGGGTGGTGTCCTGTCTCCGCGACTGTTTAATCCCACAACCACCAGAAGGAGCCTCTATAAACTCATGCGCAAATGATTGTATGATAAAATGCCGTCGCACAAAGGCATTAACGGTCAGTGTTGAAAAGTGAACGCTATCTCCCAGCGCACTCCGCACACATCCGTGACTCTCACAAAAGTAGAGAGTACAACAAGATGGTCATCCTCACGTAGCACCTAGGACATAGGCAAAGAGATGTTGCCGGCAACATACTGAGCTTAATCGGTTAATTGTATGAGAACTATATCCTATAGTTTGCCGTTCAGAAGAATTTCTTTAGATATTACTGGGTTTGTCCGAAAAGTAATAGGAGTGATTTTCTTCCACCGCGACTGTACTTCGAAGCGTGCGCGTACCGACTGGATTCGGTAGAGGACGTTCCTAGCTAACGAACGAGCGGCTGGCCAGTTGTCTCTGAGCAACTGGAGAGTTAGGACAAACATTTTCACGCGACGTGTTTTCGTAATAATCTATTTCCTGAAGAAAAGTTGGCCATACAAGAACTTGATTTTGATCGGTCACTTTATACGTCGGCCATATTCAATAATGAGTCGATGTCGATAGTTCAGATAAATGTTCAGCTTATTGGTCGTTTATATATACATGTATGTCATTTCATATATAGAATAGAAGATTACTATTCGAGACGGACGAGGGTACACAGAGCTCGGTTTTAGGCCCACTGCTATGGAACCTGATGTTTGACAGGGTGTTACTCATTGAGCATGGTTGCTTCAGAAGTTACCTTTTCAAATATCGTCCTGACTTTAGTTCTCTCTGTCGGAGGTCTACACCCTGGGAGGTAGTATCACGGTGGTAAATTTGACAGCACAATTAGAACAGATTAGAAAAAAAACATATTCTATATGTAAACGTTGCAGTGGTGTTACAAACATGGCTGGGGTATTTAAATGACCTTACGAACATATTTTTTATTTAGATAGTATATTAAAAATATATTATTTTATTTACATTTATGCCACACAAATATTATTTCATACTTCATAAGTACAGAATTTCGAATTTATTTACTTTTTAACTTACAAACTAATTTATATTTAGATGTGTGTAATATGTACTAGTGAAATGTCGTATAAACAAAAGTATTTATGGACAGACATACTTCTAGTATATATTCCTAATTATATATTCGCGTGCAGTTAAACGTTGGCGAAAAATTATCACTTTGTAAAATGTTTGTGCAGTTTTCTATACAACTAAGTTTTTAAGCACGCCAAAGCAATTATTACAAAAACGAATAAATTTATAAATTTTTTGGATTTTCAAAATACTCCTTTTTAAGTACAATTTTATGATAAAATACTTTGACATGTCTTTAAGGACTATGTACATATATTATTATGTATTGTAATTGTATGTATAATTATTTGGTTTTGTTCGTTCAGCATTCACACCAGTTCATCAACCATTTGTCAATCAGCAGCCATTACAAGCATTTTCACCGTTACTTTCTAACCAACTCTCTACATACACTTTCACTTTCCATTAAAAAAAGTAGAGTAAAAAAATATATTAAATATATACATACATACATATGTATGTATGTACATATATCTAGAAATACAAAATACTTGTACGCGCCGGCGCTCGTGCGTCACAACACGAACCTCAGTTCAGTCCACAATCCGACGTATTCTGCTCGATGGTGGTGCGCAGCCGGCTCTGATCACTATGCGAGCGTCGCAGTTCGCAGCGACAGCGCTTGAAACAGCCCAAAATGTAGGAGTGCTTCGTCCGGCTGAGCACATAAATGTATGGATCCGAAGTGAAGTGCAGCGCCATCAACACGTCGGCCAATATGAAGAAGGGATGCGCCTTTGGCACTCGGTTCGGTAAAATGGCCATCGGTATAGCGATCTGCGAAGCGTAAAGCATTAATAAGGAACTAAATTGCTGTTTTATTCTGTAGTCACTTACCATTTGCGGCATCCAACAGATGACGAAGGAGATGCTCAGGTATGCCATCAGTTTGGCGAATTTAATCTCATCGGGGGAGGCGTCTGCCGTCATTGTGACACTGTTGCTGTGATGATACAGCGAGGAGCCGCTGCTCGGTTCGCCCTCAATGCGACTTACGCTGCCCTTTTCGCGATTTACCATATCGTAGTGCATGTGTCGCTTGGTGGTGCGTGTACGTCCGATGAAGCAGAGCACGCGTGTCACGAACAGATTGCAAGCAACAATGACGACGCACAAAAGTGAACCTGCAATGAGCGTGTAGTGAAAAAGTATGCAAATTTAGTAGGTAAGTTGAAAACTATGTGGAAAGTATTGTAAATCAGAGATTAAAGACTGTATTTACGAGGTTTGTATTTTTTGTGTGAATTTTCGTGTACTGCGTTTATTCGATTTTCGGTATTCATATCTCTTACTTATGCTGACAAGGTCGGCTAATTTGAATGCTAAGTTCTTTGCTTAAAGTCGTTTTGATTCGATCGTCTTCGATTTCTGCTTATTCCAAAAATGGATCAAAGTAGTTCTATAAAATTTTGAGTACTAGAAAAGACGCCGGGAGTAGTGCTTGGAATGATTACTCTAAAAGGGGACAAAATTGATATTCATGAAGGAGTAAACACTTTCATAAGAACTGCAAAATTTGCGATTCTTTTCCAAGGTACGTTGTATAACCTCTTGAGAGAATAACGCGGTTTTCAATAAGAACGCTACACGGTTTGAGATATCAATGAAATTCTTTATTCCTGTGAAAGTACATTTGATGCCATTATGTATGGAACACTTTTTTGTTTGCATGATCTTCACGGGCACCTTTGCAGAAGTCCAGGCGCTGACTGAACCCAACTTTCGACGGTTTTCGAGCATAAATCGGTCGATAGTGCTGCAATTTCTCGTTCAATTTTTGTACGAAGCTCATCAATCGTCGGTGGCTTCTTATCATAAGTCATAGACTTGACGTAGCATCACAGGAAATAGTAAAATCGCACGGCCGAGGCGGCCAATGGACTGAGTCATTTCGTTAGATGGTGGTTTTGGTTTTCAATAAATCGATTGTGACATTTGCTGTGCGGCTTGTGGCGCCGTCCTGTTGGAATCACATATTGTCCAAGTCCATATTATCCAATTCGGACCAAAAATTTTTGGTTATCATTGAGGGATAGTGATTCCCACTTACACTAACGTGCCGATCTAGATCACCACGAAAGAAGTACGGCCCAAAGACGCCGCCGGCTCATAAATCGCACCATACCGTAATTTGTTCGAAATGCAATGGTGGCTCATGTAGTACGTGTGGATTGCAGCCGCATCTTTTGCTTATAGACGAAGTCATTCAGCCAGAAATCTCATCGCTGAAGATGGTATTTCGATGAAAATCTGAATCATTTTGTTGCTCTGTAGTATTCACCAACATGCGACGATTTTGGTATTTAAGAGGCTTCAGTTCTTGCGTCCTTTTGATCTTGTAAGGATGTGCGCCAAGATCTTCTCGTAAAATTCTGAAGAAAAATATTCAAAGAGCGAGAAAAAAATGGCGCTGTTTGCTGTCCTTATCTACTTTTTTAGTGTCCTTATTGAAAACCCCGTTATAATAATAATAATTTTTCATTTGGATTTCTTTTTAATCCATTATTTTTCATCAAATAGAAGTTTTTTATATGAATAGTTAGAAAATCCGATTTATTCGATAATTTGTTGTAATTTTTAATGGTCCTTTCATAATACCACCCTCATCGAAACTCCCCTCTATGGGTCAAAAACTGGGAGAGTCGATTTTAACAAGCTTTAATCAGTTGGTGGCAGCTGCATATTATAAGGTGGCTAATAACTTCCTAATCAAGCTACCTGTGTCTTTCGTTAGTCACTATCGTTTTATGCCCTAACGTTTTCCAGATGAAACACAATTTATCTTCTACTCGTATGGACAAAAGCTGGCTGTTTCTTGGTGATTTCTTCCTTCAGACGGCCCATTTGTTGACAGTACAAGTTCGAAATTTGAGGTTGACTGTAAAAAAGCAGTTCAATGTCATGATTCACTGGCAAACCAAACACATAGCACAATCTTCCTGATCAGGAATCCTGGCTTGGCTACCATTTTCGCCAGCTCACCATGATTCGACCATCACCGTTTTCGCTTGACGTTGTCATTAGTGACCTACTTTTCATAACCAATAAAAATTAGTTCGGAGCTCAATCGATTTTGTTGCGATTGAACTGAGATTCGCAGACGAAAATATCGGCCTATGAGGTTTGGGTAAACTCGTGTCGTACTCAAGCCTAGATCTACTTTTTGTACGCAGCCCTAAATAAATGGTTCTAAACGATTTTTTGTGTAAGGCTTAGCTCTTGGTTAATCGAAAAAGTTCTCACAAGACGGTCGGACTCGACGATTTCGAATATTTTATCGATATTTTTTAACCTTAACATCAAAATGACCCGAACGCAATTGGGCAGATTGGCTATTATCGTGTTGGGACCTTAAATACTATTCATATTTAGGCTTTCAAGCAGTAACCTCCCCCTTTCTACGGTCAGTTTAGTAAGAAGAAATTAGTATTCGCTTATCGTTCTGTGCTTTAGGAAGGCTCTTGGTGTATATCAGAGAACCTGTTGGTTGTTAGATGGAAATTCTCTCGGTCCGGCTCAAATATTTTCGACGCAAAATTGAGAAAATTTTTACTACCAGCAGCCGGACTTATTTACCTGAGGAGCTTTATTGTTTTTGTAGTTTTAGAAATGGAAAAGCTATAAGCTAATAATGATCAGGAATGCAGTACGAGTACGAATTGAATGAATGTGCTCTACTTTCCTAGACTACTTCACGCAAATGAAACTAACTTAATCTTACTCCTGTCAGATCCTCTCATAATATTTTTTTATATAAAAAAGTGAAGGAGTATTGGAAATTTTGGAATCTACGACTTCTTTAAAAGTGTTTTTCCACAAAAGTGGTTTTCCACAAAAAAAAAAAAACATGCGATTTGTAGAGAAGTTTTTAGTGGAAGAAAATTGAGGGTCTGTAAATATTCATATTGTATATTCTGAACACGGTATTTGAATTAAGTTTCCCACGAAGTTTAGCACCCAGAACGAAAGTCGATGACCGTATAAAATTTATATACATATTGTATAAATCGATCGATGTAACCAGTAGAGATCGACTCTAGTCATTTCCTTCTGCCTTTCCCTCTGCACATACGCAAACTAGTCCCTCAGTTTTTGAGATATCGATATGAAATTTTGCACAATCTCCGAAGCTACTGTTTAGATCGCTTTATAAATAATATCGCATATAGCATCTTTTTGATCTTTTGGACAATTTTATGCGCCTGTGAAGGGTATTATAGCTTCGGTATAGACAAAGTTAACTTTCTTCTTGTTTCTACTGATTTCGGGGAGCTTTTCATTAATAAAACTCTGAATGTGGAGAATAAAATTGTCTGTAAAATTTCAAGCGATTGTTCAAAAACTACTTTCTTTTGATTCCGCAAACACCTTGGAAAAATTTGTGTCATTAGACTAGACCGTTGTGAAAACGTCTAAATGCCATGATTTTGTAGACTCTTCATCCTTACATAAAAATACAAACTTAGAGACATCTTTAATGAATAAACTAAATCTTTAATAGATAACAGTTAAGACATCTTTAATAAATAAACAGTTAAGTTTTTCTTGGATATAAAAAATGTACGTGAAAGAATAAAATGGTTATAGTACCAAAACTCACCGAAAAGCATAAACAACACCGAATATGTTTTATTCCAAAAGCCTTCGGCATCGCGATAACGCAAACATTTCGGATTTTCTGGGTCACTCTCGTCAATGTAGGCGCCAAAACCGATAAAAGGTAGGAATGTGATAACAACCGCGATGAGCACAAGCGAATTGATAGTTTTGCGCACAAGTTCATATGTGATATGCTGCGAGGGCGGCGGAAGGAACAATATATACTTAGATGTTAGACACGTGTAAAAAATTTTCACGAAAAAATATATGTATGCATGCAAAGTAATATATGCGGCAAACAATTCGACAGTGAATTGGAAATCTCTGGACTAAAAATAGCACGCACACGTGCTTACCAACCTTATGATAGATGAAGGGTCTCGCCAACGCCATCCAACGTTCAATGGCCATGACCGCCGCTATGCAACCGGAACTGAGGCCGAAGAAACGACACAACACTTTCAACGTGCAATCCCAACGCACGTAGGCTTTGAACTCTTCCTCTGGCACATAAATTTTCAGCAGCATCGTCGTTAACATGCCGAGTAGGCCGATTAGATTGTTTGACGCTAAGCAGCTGAAATGAAAAAATAAAAGAAACTTCATAATATAATATATTTTTTTATTTTCTACCAAGGCATATTTATTGTGGAGCATGAGTGCTTAAGAGTACACGCATACTTACATATGTACATATGTATGTGACATGTTTGCACTTGTAATCGTGTAATAAAAAGCGGAGCACAAAAGCTTACAAATATGAAGCATGAGTGTCTTTTAGTGTTCTGCGTGGCGGGAGGATAATACTAGTAAATATAATGCTAAGGGAATTAAGTAGGACTGTTTTCAAAGAAGGCGAAAAAGCAGACGCATCATACGCACTAAAGATTAATAGGAGACTTGGGGAACTTATTATGTTTTTCGTGTTCAAGTCGAACAATCTAACAATTTCACTTAATTATTTCAAAAAGTTAAGGCAGTGGCTTAAAACCGTCAAGATCGTAAAACTATTGGTGCTCCGAAGAAGGTAATCTAGATTTATAGTTTTTATTTTTTACATTCGTTTGAAACCGAGCTGAAGTAAGAAGGTGAATCATGCCTGGCACCCAACACGTTAAAAAACATAACCTATAATCGCGTAAGCGGTATTTGCGACAATAAAGTAGAAGAATATTAATATTTCCCAGTTTGGAAACAAATAAAAGTTCAACAGTAACCAATTTGGCCTTTAAGTTGGCAGCGGTGGGAGCCGGGCCATGGTTGAGAAGCACTTTTTTTTCACCAGACAGGGCAATTTTTTCTACAATTCAGCATTGAACCGGCTCAATAATTTAGTATAGTATAGCTTTGTAACCATTTCATCCTTCTCGATGATAGTCGAAGTAAATTGCATCTCCCAGAAACGGTAGCCATCACCTGTTTGAATGATAATCTTAACAGTCTTTGTCTTCTTCAGAGCGAGTTTGCCAGGTGAAGTCTACTGTACCGTTACTTTGTCTCCGGGGTTTATAATGCTTCGTCGAAACGACATGGAAACTTCTACAGACAGCGTCAAACACTGCTGTAACGTGGTTTCACAATTGCGTTGTTATTCCAGTTCGATAGCCCTTTCACATGATTGTGTAGTCTTTAGCCAGATAAAAATCCGTGTCCACTCCTCTTACTTAGACTCAACTGGATTCGCACTTTTGACATGCCTACGACCCCAGCGATCTCGTGAACCTTTAATCGTCGGTTTGCCAATAAGAGATAGTGGCTGTGTCATTCTTTTTTCAGGAAATTTAGGTGTGGTATCATTAAAAACCGATAAAAGACCACGCTGACATTTTTTTTTATTAAATTTTCACGTTCGCCATCGGAGGGGAAGAGTCATCATTGAATTTACTGCGGAATTTCTTCTCGAAAAACGAGAATTGAATAGCTGGTCGATATTATTTCTTTTTGATTTCAACATTCGTCTATGAAACTTTCCGAACTGTAAGCCCATGTGCTTATCGGATCGCCTTTGAAAGTGTTTAGGCAAATGTACCTACTTTCATCCATACAAATATACATATTTACGCATACCGCAAACAATAGACACTACAGTATTTTCCTTACATTATTTATGGTCAGCACAACTACTTCTCAGACATGATAATCACATGAATATTACGAGTCTAATCCTCCTCTTTCCTTCTAACACATAACTAATCAAATGGACGCCCTTGGTCGTTCAGTAGGGAACGATAGAGTGGTAAATGTCCCAAATTAAGTGCCACTTTATAGCCAAGCGTGCTGATACACATTCGCTCATAAAGCATCCAACGGAGCATAGCGCTCAATGTAATAAAAAATGGAAAGTCCAAAGGTATGTGGACGTAGATAGAGCTATGATAAGCCTAATGTAAAGCAAACATCATGCGGTTTTTATCTCTTCGGCGAAGTGCTTAATGTATTTTTGTTTTGTATGTTTGGGCCTAGCAAACATTTAGGGCAATAAATTCAAGCCACAAGTGTCGGAAATCTAAACGTTAATATTGGAGATAAATTAATGTTTTTCATGCATCGATTTTTATAGTTACACAACATGTTGTACGCTAGTGTAATTGGTTTGATGGTTCGTTTACCTAACGATTTTTTTTTTTTTTTGTAGTAAGTGTAACAAATCTAACTTTTCAAGAAGTAGAGAAGTAAAGAAGTCTGAGAAGTAAAATCTTCTCTCGACGAACAGACCAAACTCTACAAATCACTTATCATCCTGTCCGTCCTGTTATATGGTGCAGAGGTATGGACGATGGCAACATCTGATGAGTTTTCCAGAGAAAGATTATGCGAACGATATGCTGTACGAGATATACTACTCAAGCTCTAAGAGTATTCGACGCAGTGCCCGCCATGGGAGGCAGCGGAAGAGGAAAACCCTCACTCCATTGGAAAGACCAGATGGAAAAGGATCCACCTAAACTTGGAATCTCCAATTGGCGCCAAACAGCGGAAAGGGAGAAGGGCTGGCGCACTATTGTAAAGTCGGCGTGAGCGGTTATACGGTAATAAAGAAGACTTAACTGAATCGAGTTCATTTATGATGTACCTTAGTTTATTGATAAAGTGTATATACCATAGTAAAACAATTTGATGCTCCTTCAATAAAAATTATTCCATGCACATCCCAAAATATTTTCGCCATAACCTTGCCAGCCGGGTGTTGCCTTCTCCATGCTTTGGAGCGTGTACAGTCTGCTCGGATGACTGTTGATTGGATTTCGGAGTGAAATGAGGGAGCCATGTTTCAACCATTGTCACATATAGATGCAAAATCTCGAGTATTATGCTTGAACATCTAAGAATCATCAACTCTTCCTTTGCCTACGGTCAAGAGTGTGCTCCGCCGTTCTCATACTCAAATATTCATGAATAATATTATATGATGTACACATTCCGTTCATATCTTTAGTCTAAAAATTAAAATTAAATTTTGGACTTTTTTACGTTTTCGTCGTCAACAACCTCTTTTAGGCTTGCGTTGCGAACACCGATAGTTTCATCACGTCTAAACTTCACATAGCAATCCTTGATGATTGATTTTTCTAGGGCAGTGTACGGAAACTCATCATCAAGCCAAGTGTTTGCTTAACTTGAACTTTTTTCCTTCAAAAAGCGATATTTTATCCCTTTGCGAAATTCCTCTTTATCCATTTTTTCACAATAACTAAAGTTACTTCACTCAAAATAATATAAATCATAAACTAATGATCCGACTGCTGTCAAATTTATACACGCAGCTTTTGACGGTTAGGACTAACTAAAAATCAAATGGATTTAATTCCAATAACGCCATCCTTTTATCAATAATGTGAAGACATAATAATGTGAGACAGATGTGACTGTTTTCGTAGTAAACTGTGCTCATAGGTTTAAACAAGAGGAAATAATAATCAAAAAAATCAACTTTGAACATAACGGACATCCTAATGTACCTGTACATATATAGTATATTGAGCAGACACAAATTTCGATTATGTAATCCCTCATTAGCATGGATGTTTCTATATTTGCATATAAATGAGTTAAGTAAAACAATTCGATGCGGTAAGAAGCTGGAGCATACTTACATAATAATAAAAATGAGACGAGCGCTGCAAATAATAAATAAAATGCTTGCAAACAATTTCAGCGCAATATTTAAAGAGTCAGCAGGAATGCAAATAAATCGGTAAGAATAAATATTTACTAATTTGAGTGATGTGAATAAATGGGGGAAAAATTGATTGCTCATTAATGCTACAAATGAATACAAATTAGCAATGAAAGAAAGCAAATAAAATTTATAAAGTGAAAAAATGTGTAATTATGTATAAAGGTACATATGTGTATTTGTATATTTACTTCCGCTGTGGGGGATTAAGATTATTATTAGGGATTAAGCGTGTTTAAGATATTTCTCAGAAGGACTAAGAGTAACTGAAGAATAATCGTAGTTTGGATAACAGTTTTGTACACTTGGAAATTCAAGGCAGCGACTTGGCTTATCAAGTCCTTGAATGTTGGCATGAAGCTCGATGGTGACGCCATGCTGTGATTTTGTAACAAGACCTCTCATGCTGTTCTGTTAACAAAAGCCTTAGGCGAGCTGATGACTGAAGGTATAACAGTCGTGAAATGCTAGCGGGCTTACAATTAGTTAGAGTAACCATTTGAATCTTACCTAATCTAACCTAACAAATACTATACTCGGAGAGATAAAGTAGCCGCTATGCTTTATTTTTGCGTCTCATGTGATACATATGTAAATACCAATACGGTTTCTAAAGCAAAAATTATACAATATGGCGAGTCAGCGAAAAGTTTGCTCAAAATATTTAGAATGGAGTTGCCACCTTTTGCAAAAATATTTCTGAAAGTATTACAAAATATGTATGTTTCACACATAAGGCGAAAGAAAATTTCTCGGTTAGTGCTCTACGCATTGAAAAAGAGTTGCCACCTAACGCAAAAATAAAAATTAGTAAAAAAGTAAGAAGAATTTGTGAAAAAGAGTTGCCCTCTATTGCAAAAACTGAAAATATTTAACAAACGTTCATAAGAAGAAACTAAAATTCAGGAAAATTAATTTGTGTAAGAGTTGCCACATGTAGAAAAAGTCAGTTTAAGTAAAGATTCAAACATGTTGGAAAATGTTTATGAATTTAAAACAATGTAAAGGAAAGTACTTGAATCTGCTTTAAAATAGATTAAATAAATTAATCTTAAAATATAAATATTAAAAATGTGTGGCAAACATAAGCGGAACGAAAAGTTCTAGGACAGTGTTAGTAGGAGAGTGTAGTTGTCACTTATATCAAAATTAAAATAATAAAATATTTCTTAATGTGTTTAATAAGTTTTGATGAAAAATATATGTGACCATCTTCCATCCGAATCAACTAAGATTTTTGGACACCTAAGCCCCCTTTCCGTAGACCAGGTCACATATGCATTTCTTTTCAATTGGAGTTGTCATTTATCTCAAAAACTGAAAATATTACAAAATATTTAACAAACGTACATATAAGAGACAAAACGTCTAGGAAATTATTCCATGTGTGCTTTGTAGAA